CCCCCCCCCCAATCGTAAAATCGCTGCGCGGTTCTTCTGTGAAACAACGGATCGGGATTCTGAAGGGACGATTTCGGATCCGATTTCCAATGTATAATGTAAGCAAACAATGGAAGAAAGATAACCAAGCATTTATATAAGTGCCAACGGGCATAAAACATGTTTCGCTGTTCTCGACAGTACCAGCCCGTGTCAGGATTAGTTTAAAGAAGAATATTTTACAACCCTCATATACATATGATATTATACATTTTTGCAGAACACCAAAGACGTAGCCAGTACTGCAGACGAGTTTCATATATTGAAGGAAGGTCTGCGTATTGTTGACGAAGTTCGAGATTGTTTGGTGAAGAGAATTGCCGATATTCAAGAACAGAAATTGTACGAACAACTGAACAATGTCTCGCCGGGGAATACCTATACAAACACAACATATCACCAAGATATAGACTTTAAAATATCAGAGAGAAGAAAGAATATTGGCAAAACTGGCATTGTTTTGGACTCTTCGCAAATAGAATCTCTTTCAACTCATTTTAAAGGTTTGAAAACGGTTTTGGATCAGGCGAAGCAGCCGAGAAGCGATCGTTAATTTACTGAATCAGGTTTGACTTTATCCATTATTTTTATCCAATATTTTCCGATATTCTTGGATCAACTCAGGAATGGATTTACTGGGGGGGAGCGTGCAGGGGACTGTAAAGTGCAGTGGGGGGGGGGCGCACCCCTCCCTCCTAGCCTTGGCAAAGGGAGGTGCAAGGGGAGGGGGTTCATTATTTACTGTGAACCTCAGATGTCAGACGTTAATAGGCTCATAGCTATAGGCCGAATGACCGACGTTCACGCTCCAGATATATAGAGGTCACTGGTCTTCCCCAGTGAGCTCAAAATATCACTGGAGTAATACCTGAGCTACTCAAACGTTTAAAATGAAGCCAAAAATGAAAACAAACTTTGATAATTAATATCTCGTAAATGACAAAACGTATTGAAAAGCGGTTCTTTCCTGAGTTCTTTCCGACTGAGTTCTTTCCGTCTTGATAAATTTATTCGGCAGATGTTTTCGCTGATAGAAGCGTTGTTTATCGTGACAATAAAAAGATAATAAAACAAATAAAAAGACGGTCGATCTGATTTCTATATGCCATCCGCTTGAATTTCTAAAGCAAATGCACAGCTGCATGGTTCATTCCTGTATCTTTCTTTGGCGCGATTGTTCAGCTGTTTTGATAAGATTTTTCAGACTTGTCATCAAATCTATGAAAATATTTTCCTTTTAATTCAGACACGGCAAAGACAGATACCTTTTCCACAAATTTTCCAATGAAGGCACTGAAAGGCTGCCTGACAAACCTCGCTCCAGGCCTGTTTTGCACGGTCTTGTTGTTTGCCAAATTGTGTTGAAATATGGTTGAAAAAGCCGTAAAAATATCAACAGCGATACATTGTTGAAAGCTCTTGTAGACATATACAGAGTGGAACCCGCTAACTCGAACTCCCAGGGGAAAATTGTTCGAGTGGCGAGGGGTCGGTGTTGGATCCATTACGGTGCACTCTCAAGAACTTACAAAGTTTGTACTACTGTTACCTAAGTTTTACAGTTGGGGGGTCTCAGATGGAAATTGACGAGTGGAAATTTATATACATTTTTTAGACGTAATATATGAACAACGAGAGCGAGTGTTTCACCGGGATATCCAAATACGAGACCAGATAAGCTAGATCAGTAATGGCCGACGCAAATTGTTGAACCTTTTTATCTCTTTATGGACTTGTATTACGTTTGTATATATAGAGATTAAATTGTTGTTGTCAGAATAGAAATCCAAGCTTCCGACTTGCCAATGTGCTATGTTCTGAGTTCTGACATTTTGAGGTTTGCCGATCCGGCTAAATTTGACCAGAGGAAAATGAAATTTGTTAAGCCCTTCGAGTTAGCCGGAGTAAATTTGTTAAAAATTGGATCAAATCATGCAGGGGAAACGGGATTTAGTTAGAAAGGTCAACAATATAAGTATTTAACAAATTTAGTATTTTACTAAATTTGTTCAAAAAATATCGAATTTTCTAACTATACTGTATAGAATTAATTAAATGTGCTGACCAAAGCCGCGCGACCTGGAACGAGGTTTTCAAGCTATCTTAATGGGTTGTCTTGGGAAAGGTCCATTCAGAATAAGTGTCTTTATGTTCGACATTATTTTTAGTAAATTGGATATGCATATTGCCATATTCCAAATGGGATTTTCCAATCGAAGTTTTGTGTTTCATTTGCAAGAAAGCAGATGGTTTTTCGTGTAAATGTTCAACGACCATTGTATATTAGCAATTTACATACAAATTAAGAGTTACTCAAAATTCAGCGTCCTTGAAACAAAAAAGATAAAATGAGTAAAAACTCATTTACTATGTATTGATGTATACAAGCACCTGCTAACAAACACTATCAGGAGACATTTGTTTACTCTGAGACAAACAGATATAACTGTTGGGAAAAATTAGTCGCAAAACTAACAAAGAGCTCGGTACATACCGTATAAAAAGATTAGTAAAAGAGAACTTTAGGTAAGTTTTAATAAGTATTATATTTTCGCAGGGTTTGATCATTTTCACTGCATGTGTCGACAGATGAAGTTCATTTGATATGCTGAATTGAAAGGCATGGTTTATACTATATCAAAGTTTCTGTGATCACGGTAAGAATTTTCCATAGGAATTCTAAGTTTTGAAAGACTTGTATAGAAATGTCTGAG